AGATTTGGATTTCGCAGGTTCGGGGTTCGGGAGTTGGGGGTTTGGGTTAGGGCTTGGGGGGCTTGTTTTAGGGACTTAGGGTGACGGTCCGTCGCGAAAGACCTGAGTGTCTGTGGTGTGTGGGCAGGTGTAGGTATGAGCATAAGTACTACAGGGGCCACCAAAACTATTTTGGGGTTCTTTATATCTCACTCGACTAAGAGGCCCGTGCACAGCGCAAGCGGTGCACCAAAGGAAGCGCAATGAAGCTGAGCTTTCTGATGCATCAATGGAGAATGTGCTCGGGATGGCATGAATTGGACAGCACCAGTGTTTGACAAGTCTGAGAGCTGGCGTCGGAAGATATTCTGAGTCTTGCACTCTACTCATTCCGCGAGTTTCTACTCGTTTCGTGGACGTGGGACCGAACCTGCCAAGCAAGTCCATTCTCCCAGAAGCCGTCTGGCCTCGATAAAATGCACCGGACGAAGCAGCTGACCCCGACCCTTTGAACTGATCAAGGAGCTCTTCTGAAGTCAGCGAACTTTCCATCATAGATCGTGTCACAAATGGTTGTCCAGGCACAAACTCAAATGTCTCCGAGCGTAAGGGGACGGCCGCCGAACTCGACGCACCGCCAGGATCAGCTGCTGGTTCTGGAGTATCTGGCAGTTCTTCCCATATGGCGGTGCCTTTCTCGTACCGCACACGCCACTTGCCATCAGGACTGTAGGACCACTGCCTCTACGGACCGCCTGTCCGTTTTGGGGTTCCGTATAAAAGTTACAGTAGAATTACCTATGACTCTAGGGCCCCTACAATGCCTTCTTGGGTAACTGGGATGTGGGGGAGGCACCCAACTTCGTCACCGTCGTTGTATCCCAAAGTCCAGGCTGCATGTTAGGACTCCTGTCCATGCAAGGCGGCTCGTGCCCACTACTTGGAGGGTCAGGGGACTTAGTAACTTGTTATTTTAGGGACTTATAAGTACCATAACCCCAATTAGGGTCCCTTTTAGGGTACTTATAAGTCTACTTACTGACTACTTACTAAGTCCCCTGACCCTTCCAGTAGGAACAACCGATAGACAGGATCCATTGTAGTTCCCTTTTTTGCTCCTTTTGGGATCCATTCTAGTTCCCCTTTTTGGGCTCCCTTTTTAGGTAAACCCAATTTACAATCTAGGATCCTTAAACCGTTAAGTTGGTTGCTGGCGCCTGGTAGGCCAAGAAACCCAAAATCCCCAAACCCCACAGACTTTAGGATTTAGGGTTGAGGATGCAGGGTTTAGGGTTTACAGGGTTTATAGGGTTAAGGGTTTAGGATTTAGGGTTGAGGATTCAGGTTCAAGGGTTTAGGGCTTATAGGGTTTAGGGTTTAGGGCCTGCCGACTCAATCCGATGGAAACTCCATTCGGAATTCGGGTAGTTGTCAAAATTATGGTCCCTTCTGGGGTACCCTAAGTATGAGGTGCCGTATGATATTAAGGAACCAAAAAGGGACCATAATTTTGACAACCACCCATTCAGAGGCTTCATAAAACCCGTATTGCCTGTCGTACGCCCTGCAAAGCCTTACCACACCCGCATAACCGGCCGAGGCACCGGTATTTGCTCAGTAGCTTTCTCTCCGATGAATCCACCTCAGTCCAAACGACTTCGGAGCTTGTTTTACAGTGGGTCTAGGGCTTAGGGCTTTGGGATCGGGGGTTCGATGCTACTTAAAGGCTCATGGGACTTAGTAAATAAGGTTATAAGTAGGGTTATAATTAGGATAGCCCCACTTAGGGGACTTATAACCCCAATTATAACCTACTTACTAAGTCCCATGATCCTTCAAGTAGGGTTTGGAATCTCAGGCTAAAGTCTTGAACTTAGGCTTTGTCCTCAGCGAGCATTTATCCCCTGCAGCCCTCTACTTGGAGGGTCGGGGGACTTAGTAACTGGTTATTTTAGGGACTTATAAGTGCCATCACCCCAATTAGGGTCCCTTTTAGGGTACTTATAAGTCTACTTACTTACTACTTACTAAGTCCCCCGACCCCCCAAGTAGAGGACTTAAGCCCCCATGAAACCCGAACACCACATCCCCACCTAAACCCACAAAACCCCCAAACCCCTAAACCGCCAAACCCGAAACCCCAACACCCGAAACCCAACACCCCTAAACGCTAAACAGCTAAAACTCAAAACCCCAAACCCTGACCTCATTGTAAGGACCCCAAATTAAGGTACCCCTAATTTTCGGAAACTCCCATATATTCTACGCCTGGTAGACCGACCCCCCTAAACCCGACAGCCCAGCCTTGCCGTCCGCCAGCACCGCCATCATCAAGACCTTGTACAGTCGACCTCGCGGGTTTAGGAATTAGGTTTTAGGGTTTAGGGTTTAGGAATTAAGGTTTACCAGGGTTTAGGATTTAGGAATTAGGGTTTAGGGTTTGGGAATTAGGGTTTATCAGGGTTTAGGGATTGGGGGTTAGGGATTAGGGCTGAGGGTTTTGGGTTTACCAGGTTTTAGAGTTTAGACTCCAGGGTTTTGGGTGAGGGTTTCCGTTGAGGGCTCTTTAAAGAACCCGCTTCAAAGAACCATAGGGTTTAAGGTCTGGGGCTTTAGGCTTAGGGTTCAGGGGAATAGGTCTATAAGGGTACTGTAGAGTTTCGTAAGGTCTCTGTATGGGTTCTTGAGCTAGTGATTTGAAGGGCTCTGTAAGAGCTCTAGCAGGTTTGATAGAGGTTCGATAAGGTGACAGAAATTCTCTGGGTTGATTAGGGGTTTCCTTACCTTTGGTTACTAGGGAGTGGGAGGATGGTAGTAATAGTAGTTATGCTTGTACCCCATTCCTCCATTCCCTACTAACCAAAGGTAAGTATAGATCCCTGTAGAATTCCACCCTCGAGCCCCCTCCAGATCTCTTTCTCTTTTGCGGGCGTTTTCGGCTCCAGGCTGGCTTCGGAATGTTGCCTTGGGTCGTCACGCTAGCTTCAGACTTTAACGACGTAGACTCAACTTAACGAATGCACTATCGCATGTTCGCAAGGAGTCTTCACTGTCTGTTTGCGTCGAAGGAAAAGTAGAGCGCCGTTGAGGGTTCATGGACTTTGGCTGCTGAGCCTTGAGACAACCCCCTTCGTGAGCCTCTCTACGTCCTTCGCTGCACAAATCGAGAAGTGTACAAGTTGTTTTATCCTGGAACTGGGACTCGCAAGGACTCCTACCTGTTCTTTGGATTCAATAGGTTATGAGTTCCCAAGACGCTCCCTCGCAGAACTCTGGGAGCATGGAAGGGGCTCAGGCAAGTGAGAGACTTGCAGAGAGCTCTGGGAATGCAGGGCTGCTGAGTGGCTATGGGGCTGTTCAGGCAGCAGTGACGTCTACTTCGGGGAGCTTCTCTGGAAGGGCTGTGGAAGGTTCATCTCAGGAGGGTCAGACCGAAGTTCCGGATGTTTTTGCGGAACAGACTGTGGAAGGGCCTGTAGCGGGCCAGACGGACATGCCTCAGGCCACCAGTGGCATGAGTACAGAGGCCCCTCTGAGCGGTGCCGCTGCGGATTCGGGAAGTTCTTGTGGTAGGGATGTTTTTTATTCAGCTGGAAGGACGACGCCGCAAGACACTGCTCAGGTTGCTCAGATGATTCAGGTCCAAGGACAACCACAGTTGTTTGGACCGGAAGCCAACTTCCGGCTGGCGCAACTGGAGAGGGAAGCCCCTCACTTGTATGGAGGCGGGGGTGCTATGATGTCAGGAGCAGCCAGGTCGGACTCTTCTGGGTTCAGCGCTGGGGAGATTCAGGCAGAGGTTCATCGGCAGCTTGAGCTTGTTCGGAGGGAGCATGCACTTCAGATGAGAGCGTTGGCAGCTGAGAATGAAGCCTTGAGGAATAGGTCTCTACTGTTTGAGGGCCGAAGGCCTGTACAGGTAGAAGCCTCTAGTGCGGGTTGGGGAAATCAGGCCGCCAAAGTGATGGAGTGGTTTGGTTTAGGGCAGGGTGCGTTCGCGTCGTTCGTGCCGAGAAACCCTAACCCCGTAAGTCCTGGCACGAATCCTCTTGGACCGCATGCCTCAGGAGATACTCAGGCCCTTCTTCAGGGCACGGGTCAATCCATGACCTTGGAAGGCATGCAGGCGGCAGGTGCACAGCCGGGTCAGGTGCCGAGACAAGGTCTGCCAACACAGGCGTCAGGTGTGCATCCAGGTCAGGTGCCAATGCAAGGTGCACTCCCACAGGCTTCAGGTGTGCAGTCAGGCGTGCCGATGCAAGGTGCACTACCACAGGCTTCAGGTGTGCAGTCAGGCGTGCCGATGCAAGGTGCACTACCACAGGCTTCAGGCGTGCAGTCAGGCTTCCCGATGCAAGGTGCACTACCACAGGCTTCAAGCTGGCAGTTAGGCTTGCCGACGCAAGGCGCACTTCCGCAGGCTTCAGGTGTGCAGTCAGGTCCACCGATGCAAGGTGCACTTCCGCAGGCTTCAGGTGTGCAGTCAGGTCCACCGATGCAAGGTGCACTTCCGCAGGCTTCAGGTGTGCAGTCAGGTCCACCGATGCAAGGTGCACTTCCGCAGGCTTCAGGTGTGCAGTCAGGTCCACCGATGCAAGGTGTACTTCCGCAGGCTTCAGGTGTGCAGTCAGGTCCACCGATGCAAGGTGCACTTCCGCAGGCTTCAGGTGTGCAGTCAGGTCACATGTCGCACACAGGTGCACTTCCGTAGGCTTCAGGTGCTCCACCAGGTTCCTCCGCTGAGGCCTCGAGTGCCCAGCCACAGTGGCCTTGGCAAGGCTTGATCCAGAGAGCGTGGGATGCCAGTGGGGTCAATCAAGGACTCGGATCGTCAGGTCTCTCTCCAGATGCAGCTGGCATTCTGGCAGGTCTCCAGGCCCTGGTGTCTCAGCAGAACGGAAGTTCGTCTCCGACTGAAGGGAAGGCGGAACAGGTGAAGCACTCTTGGTCGGAGCTCCCGAAGCTCCCAGAGCTAGGACCTGAGTCCTCCCTTGCGTTTTCGCGCCCCACTAGTCGAGGACATGTCAGCCACAAGTGCTCAGTACTGGAGCCTCCTCACACGAGAGGCCGAAGAGGTTTACCGAAGGTACTTAGCTAGTGACCCCATGGGCAGGATTTCACTGAATCCAGTGGAAACCCCGGAGCTTAAGTCCCCTGCCTGGTCCAGACTCGCCAAGCGCTTGGAAGCTCTTTTGATCACGGCAGCTCCGAAGCAGGTGCGCGAGGAGTTGGTCCAGAGCCGACTCAAGTCTCCACTTCACCTTCTCTATCGCCTTCATGTGTTGTACGCCCCGGGAGGGGTACAAGAGAGGGAGCACGCCCTGCGCAGCCTCCAGCACACGAGCTCCCCTACCACTCCCCAGGCCGCTCTGGATGCGCTTCGCCAGTGGAGAAGGTGGCTCTCTAGGACCGAGGCCCTTGGAGGTTCGTTGCCTGATCCGGTGATCCTTACCAAGGCACTGCTGAACATAGTTAAGACTGTGCTTGAGGGCAATGCTGAGGTGCAGTTTAGGATGGGACTTGTGAAGGCAGCTCTCAGAGCTGAGACGGCCCCTACAGTTGCGGTGGTTCACCAGCTCCACGCGGCCTTGCTCTCTGAAGTAGAAGGCCTAGCTAGGACTCAGACCTTGAGGCCGAAGGCGACTCCCTCTGCAGCCGCAGTGAACCTTCCTGAGGTGCCAGCTGCAAACCCAAGGGCCCCATCGGTTCCCCAGGGAAAGGGCTCTGGGAAGTCAGAGCCATCTGGAGGCCGGACGGCAGACACCACAATCGCTGTTCCTCAAGGTGCCTGCAGGTTCTATGTCCAAGGCATTGGGTGTAATAGGGGTGATAAGTGCCGCAACGCCCACAACTGGCAGGACATTCCTAATAAGGATAAGAAGTCCAGGTGTATGTCGTGTGGTGGCACCGGCCACCAAAAGGCGTCATGCCCGCATGCTTCAGGAGGTCCAGGCCCGCCGAAGGCCCCGAACCCAGCTCCTCCTCGAAGAGCTGACAAACCCGAGAGGCCTAAGGCAGCAGCAGTGGCGGCCCAGGTTGGAACTGCTCAAGACGCCAATTCGAGCCAGGTCCAGGCCCTCCTGGATGATGCGGCGAAGGTTCTGAAGGCCATACAGGCGCCAGGGAGCCAGGTGAGGGATCCACCCGTTGCACCGAGGGCGGAGGCAGCAGCACCAAAGGCGACTCCAGTGCTTCAGGGAACTCCTGTGACGGTGGCTACTCTTATTCAGAGCCACTTGGATGCCATTCGTCAGGCCATCCCAGAGGTCCAGCAGACTTCTGAGAAGCCCTTGATCAAGGCCATCGCAAGCTTGGCCATGCCCTTGGAGGAGGAAGGTCCGTTGGAGGAGGCAGACCCCGACGAACAGGTGGGTCTGTTGGACAGCGGTGCGACGCATGCTGTTCGTGCACGCGAGGAAAGAGACCAGGATCTCACTGCAACGGAGGTTGTTTTGGCGGGAGGAGCTACCCAGTCTTTGCTCCAAAACCCAGGTGGGACGATCCTAACCAATGGTCCCTCGCAGCCCATAGTGCCCCTCGGGAGCTTAGTACGGCTTCTGGGTTGTAGTGTCACCTGGACCCCTACGCGGTTGGTGGTCAAGCATCCGGTGTTTGGAAAGCTAAGGGTGAAGATTAAGCAGGGGTGTCCAGTCCTCGCCGAGACCCGTGCTCTAGAGTTGATCCAACAACTGGAGGAGCGACGCCTTGAGAAACTACGCGGGCAAGTGGATGAGACGGAGGCCGTGCTCCGAGCCCTTACTTCCAGGGTGCCGTTGGCTAAGGCGGTAGATAGGGCTAAGGAGGAAGGTACGCGAGCAGATGTGATGCAGACGGCCCTTTCGTGCGGTGTCTTTGAGCATCACCACCTCCAGTCCATAGCTACTACAATCCCTAGGGAGGAACGTGAGCTCCGGCACACCTTGAAAGGCCTGTCACTTCCCCGTCGCCGCCGGCGAGCGTTGGAGCAGTCCAAGGATTGGTTTGTGAACCTTCAATTCGGGAAGGAGCCAGCGGCAGTCAGTGAGAATGTGCTCTCGGCGTGTCCCGACGCTCAGGTGCTTCACATTGACTTGTCCAAGCCCCATAACAACCTTGAGCCAGGATCTCCCCTCAGAGCCTCCCTTGCCTGGGCAGCCCTTCATGGAAGGATCATCGGCTTGTCAGCTGACCTGGCCTCTCGATCCGAGCTTTTGGTCCAGGTTTCATGGTTGTGGGCAGTGGCCTCCGCCGGTAGGGGTTATACGGTTCCCCTAATGACCCTCTCGGACTCCGCTAAGCTCTTCAAGGATGAGTGGTGGCCGAAGTTTCAACGTTGGGCCCACCTGAAGCAAGCCTTTGCGGTGGGAGGAGCCGTGACTGTGTTCACAAATTGCCGGACCGATTTGGTCGAGACACGTGAGAACCGCCCTGCCCTCCAGGAAAAGGTCGTGCAATCTTTCCGGCCACAACGGCCGCAACCGGTCTCTGAGGAGGAGTTGAGAAGGATCGATCAAGAGGTGCGTGAGTCACTGCGCCTAATCAGGCCCTCAATTGCTTCAGGTGGCCAGGTTTCAGGGTTGCAAGGTGTCGAGCAAGCGGTACCGACCGCGGCGGCGCTAGACGCTGAAGGGTGGCGACGCCACATCGAGAGCGGACACCTCCCGTTCAACAGGAAGTGCAAGGCCTGCGTTATGGGGTCAGGGGTAGGACTGCAGCACCGCAAGGTAGCCCATCCAACCTCGTTCTCCCTTTCACTAGATGTCCTGGGGCCCATCCAGAAAGGAATCTTTGAAGACTCAGTTGCAGCCCAGCCAAGGCACAAATATGCCCTTGTGGGGGCGTACAGGGTGCCTGAGGACGTCCTCCGGAGAAGATGGGATCCCAAAAGAGACCTGAAGGATTTGTTCAGGGACTCCACGCTTGAGTTGGCTTCCGCAAATGAGTACCTTGGTGGGGAGTTGAAGGGAGCCGAGCCTGAGCCGGCGCCGTCGGACCCTTTGCTACCGATCCAAGAGGGGCAGGAGGAGGAGATGCGCGAGGAGGAATGGGACCAGTCCGAAAGGGGGCCTGAAGAATCTCTTGTGAGCGTTGAGCTGGAGGCCGAGTCCCAGTCTGGGGAGACCCTCCAACAGGCCATAGAAAACCTTAAGGACCCGGTTCCCCAGGTCGTGCTTCGGTTGGTTAGGCCAATGACCTCCCGCAAAGGCCCTTCCCTCATGCCGGCCATCCACTCCATGGTTCAGGAGATAAACAGATTAGGCTTCCCAGTGAAGAATGTTCACTCCGACCAGGGCCGGGAATTCTTGAGCGACAGCTTGAGGCTGTGGTTGTCCCAAATGGGAGTGCGCGTCACCATGAGCGAAGCTCATGATAAAAAGGCCAACGGCCTGGCAGAACGCATAGTTGGGTGGAGTAAGCAGAGAGCCCGTTGCCTGCTGAACAGTGCCGAGCTCGAGCCAAGCTTCTGGCCCTACGCTATGTCTCATGCCGCCGCCTCACATCAGGCCTCCCTTATAGGAGACACTCCGCTTCCCCACTTTGGGAAAAAGATAGTGTTCAAAAGGCCGATGCTGCCTGGCAACTTCAAGCCCTGGGACCACTGGTCCGAAGGTCGATACCTCTCCCCGTCCATCCTTGTGCCTGGAGGACACTCAATCCTCAGACCGGATGGCAACACCACGGTTGTGAAGAATTTCAGGGATGATTTAGTTGACCCTGAGGCCTTGGTAAGACAGCGGGATGAAGGCAGCGGAGGTAGCCGTAGATGCGTCCCTTTCGGAAGGAGGCAAGGAGGAGTTGTTTCCGGAACTCTTTGGCTCCGATGGCCGGGAGCCCACGGGATCATCAAAGGAGGTGATAGGAGCAGGTGTAGGGGCGATAGATCCTGGACCCGCAGACTCCGAACTTCCTCCACCTAGCCGCCTAAAGGGAAAGGGTCCAAGGTTGAGGCCGAGGCCACGCCTTGCTGCTCTAAGGGAGCAGGAGCCAGAAGAAGATGAGGATGAAGAAATTGAGGAGGAGAGCGAAGAACCGGATGAGGTGACGGATGTCGAGGCCAACACCATATCTGAAGGCCAGATCTCATCCTTGGGATCCTCCTCCTCGTCTGGGCAACAGTTTCCCCGCAACTTGGGATCCATCCAGGATCCGGTGATCATCCGCGCCCTTGTGAGGCTCAGTCTTGAGTCCAGAGCTCAGGGCCTCTATGACTTGGGAGTCCACGAGGTAAGCGATCTGAACTATGTCTTCAGAACAGACCTTGTTGAGGAAGGCTGGACCGATCACGAGGCTACTGTGTTCCTCCATGAATGCGGCCTGATTGCCCCAGCCCAGCGGTCCGAGAACCCAAGAAGCGCCGGGTATGTTGAGGGCCAGGTTGGGTTGATAGGGAGGGAAGATGAGGTTCCTCGTACTATGGGTGCTAAGGCCCGTGCTCGCAGGGAAGCAAGGGAAAGGGCGGAAGCCCTCCGCGTGCAACCACGTGCACCAGGCTCAGATGCAGGAGCCACTGCGGGCTCAACAGAGCCTCCCGAGCCCCGTCACAACCCTCGCATCACCCGTCCTATCCTGGACCAGCTTCCGGCGAGATTCTATGATGAAGTGATCGCCAATCAGCCCATCTCTAGAGACCTCCTCTCCCGTGTAGAGGAGGAAGCACATGACGCCGACCTAACGATGGAACCGAATGATGAGGAGTATGCCCAAAATGTCTTCCAGACCACCAGGTCGAGAATGAGTTGCAACCCTAACGGGGTCACTCCGGTTGTAGGGCGTCTGATGCTCCGTAAGTTTGCCAGGTTTAGGAAGGATAGCTTTGGGTTAGTGCCTCCTGAGCAAGAGCCTGCCCTGGAAGCTTCTTCTGAAGAGCTCGCGTCAGCACTGCTGGAGCTCGGACCAGGGATCTCAACACAGGGGGTCGAGCAGATGGCGCGACGGCTTCCTTATGAGAGCCCTCACCCGGCCCTGGCTGGGGATCAGACGTCAGGCGAAGAGGGCCGGGCATTCTATTGTGGTGCCATGTGCAGAGGAGGAATCTCCTCCTTGAGAAGGTCTTGTGCGGAGAACCCGCTTGCCATCAAGTGCCTTACCAGGCTTCTCCGGAGAGCCCCACATGTGCTTTTCCTCAGTGGCAGTTCTAGAGGAGGTGATGGCACCCCCACACCGGGACTCCAGAAATGAGGCAACTCCAAACTTGATCTTGCCTTTGACCAGGTTTGAAGGTGGTGCAGTGTGGGAGGAAAATGAATTCGGAAATGTTTTGAGGGATGTCAAGGGCAAGCCCACCGCCGGCAGACTGCTTGATGTTGCAACGGGACCCCAGACCCTCCAGGCCCAGTCGAAGTTCCACCTCACCGAGCCGTGGGCAGGCAGAAGGGTGATCCTGGTTGGGTATACGGTCTCTAGGATAGAGTTCCTTAGTGAGGACCAAAGGAGCAAGCTCCGGGAATTGGGTTTCGTGCTGCCGGGGGACCTCACTGCCGGAGAGGAGGGCGAGCCAGTTCTTAGGGTTAATAGGCCCGAGATTAGGAAGGTTGAGGCCATCCCCCTTGCAAGAGAGCCCGACACATGGAGGGGACACTATGGTGTCTGAGGAAACCTTCCGCGGGTACTTGCGAGGAAATAGAGGAAGGGAGGACTGGGAGCGTGCCACTCAAGGTGAGTTCTTTCGAGGAGGGTACGTCATTGATGAAGCCACTCAGACAATGTTCAGGGCCAATGAAAGTCATGAGAGATTGGCTGTTGCAGCAGTGACCAGTGGTGTCATTCAGAGTGGGATTCACAATGGAGACATGATTCTCCGAGAGTACCTCGGTGATCCGAGAGACCACGGCCCTTCCGAGCCGGAGGAACCAGTCCCTGTGGTAGAACTACTGGGTCAGGTCAGGGACCTGTATGCCGACTCCCGTAGTCCCCAGGAGTACCACATTGGGTTTAGGCTAAAGAGGACGACAGAAGATGTAGATAGGGAGGGCAACTACTTAGGGGATCAATTCTTCTTTGTGAGATGCCTCATGCGGGCTTCGATGTTGAGATGATGTCCAGAGTTCTCCGAAGGGGGGACCGACGCCACCGGGCGTCGTACGAAGGGGCTGGAGGAGCCTACTACTTCTCGAGCATCCCGCTGTTGCACGGCTCTGAGATCAACCAAGGACGAAGGGCTCCCGCGTCGGGGTCCACTCAGTCTTCCAGCTCCAGAGGCCCTCATCCGTATGTCCGTGCACTGAGCCCTACTACCGCCTCCTCTTCCCGATCTGAGGGAACCGGGTCTTCAGACGAGACGAGGCCTAGCGGTGCGCCAAGATCTCCACCCGCCAGCCCTACCATTCCGGTGTATAGGCTAGACCCTGCGGTCTTAATCCCCTCTTCGCTATTGCTTCCGGCCTCTGCTGCTCCACAATCAGAGTACCGCCCTTCCTTTGGACACCAAGGGCATGAGGATCCGGAGGTAAACAAGATAGAGGTTTACACCAAGGATGTAGAGGCTAAGCTTGAAGCACTCGGGGATAGCTCGCTGGAAACCACCTACACAGTTTCTCCAGCCGAAGCCCGGAAGCACGCTGAGCGTTGGAGAGCCGCGCTGCTTGAAGAGCTCAAGTGCCTTGAGGAAAAGGGAGCCATCATCCGGAGAAAGGGAGCCGAGGCCCAGAAGCTCCTATCGGACCCCGAGGCCGTCACCCTGCACTCCAAGGGAGTGTATACGGTCAAGCCCGGCAAATACCGGCCGGATGGGCCGAAGCAGGCTTTCAGAAGAAAGGCGAGGATCGTAGCGTGCGGGAATGAGTCCCGATACACCGACACCGGCGACGTCTATGCTGCAGGCGTGGCAGGCGACGTCCTGCGCGCTGCACTCCTGAAGGGAGCCAGTAGGCGGTGGAAAGCGTTCGGCACTGACGTGCATACCGCCTTCCTGCTAGCGCCGTTAGGTACCACCCGCAGGTACCTGTTGCAGCCACCGGCAATCCTCAAGGCGTTGAATCTCATCTCCGATGGGGAGATATGGGAAATAAACCGCGCCATATATGGCTTGAGGGAGAGTCCGAGGTGGTGGACAGACTACAGAAATGCTGCGCTCACAGGCCTCACCTTCCAGCTGCGCAATGCCGAGACAGGCAACCTTGAGCCTCACCGCTTGGAACAGGGTAGCACTGAAGGGAATGTCTTTAAGATAAGGGGTCCCAATGGTGAGCTGAAAGGGCTTTTGGTGTGCTACGTTGATGACTTCCTCATCTTGTCGAGCGATCCTGTGGCGAAAGCCCTCTACGAGGCAATGTGCACCCAGCTGAACTGGGAGTTGGATCCCCTCCAGGAGGCCACCCGACAGAACCCCCTTAAGTTCTTAGGTGTAGGGATAAGCCCTTTGGAAAATGAGCCCGGGTTCGCGCTTGACCAGAGGTCTTACATAGACGAGCTCCTCGCCAAGAATGGGTTTCAGGGCAGAGGCAGTAACATCCCCTGCCCAAAGGAGTTGCTGTCAGATGATGACTTGGAAGATCCTGAGGACGTAAGTTATCCAACGTCCCTAAGGGAGGCGCAACGCCTCACCGGCGAGCTCCTGTGGCTAGCTCAGAAGAGTCGTCCTGACGTCTCTTTTGTGGTGCAATACATGGCATCGCACACCATAGGCCGCCCGCGACATGTGTGCGACGTCGCACAAAGAGTGTTCAGATACCTCTCCCTGACAAGGGATAGGCATCTCCGCTTGATGCCAGAGGCCGAAAGGGGGCTGGAAGTTTTCACTGACGCTTCCTTCGCGCCGACGGGAAAACACAGTCAGGGAGGGATCCTGATCAAGTATATGGGATCGACGATCCAATGGAAGGCGTCAAAACTTCCGCTGATTGCGATTTCGTCAGCAGAAGCAGAGTTGCAGGCGCTAAGTGAGGGTGCCATCTACGGACAGTCGTTGCAGGCTGTCCTGCGGGACATCACCGATGAGCCTCCTTCCCTCGCGCTGCTGTGCGATTCCACTTCCGCTATAGCCCTGGCCGAGGGCGGGTCCAGTCAGAGGACAAGACACCTTCAGGTGAGAGCCGCTGCGCTCACGCAGCAGCTAGGGTCCTCAATGACTCTAGAGCACTGCCCGGGGGACGTGCAGTGTGCTGATCTGCTTACGAAGCCCCTTGCAGGGCCTAGGCTTCACGAGCTGTCCCTCCTTGTAGGCTTGAGTGATGAAGCTGAGCCTCCTTCTGTTGGGAAGGTTGAGGTGTTGTGTGGATGCGGAGGAGCCTTGAGCAAGTGGCTCACAGCGCTCACTGCCTTTGCACAGATCATGCCAGGCTCAGGCCAAGGTGAGGAGGAGGACTTCCAAGGTGTGACGAGCGACCTCTCGCTCTATGTGGCCCTGGTTGTTGTGATCATAGCCATAGTAGGCCTTTGGGAAGGGATTAAGGTTGCAAGCAGGTCCTGCCGAGGATCCCCGTCGCCCTCCATCCGGGCTCTGAGGAAGAAAGACCGTCTTGAAAAGGCCGTGCGAGAAGCCCTCGACAAGGAGGTGACTTCGTCTACTCCGTCCTCCTCAGATCAGCCGATCAAGCGAAGGGGGAGACCAACCTCCCAGCCTCCGAGCGCCCAAGGGCACTCTACCGCGACTTCATCTACTACAACCACGACCCTGCTGCAGGTTTCGAGGTTTTCCCAGACCGAGGTCTTAGATGGAGGTAGGATCACAAGGCGGAGCCAAGGCGTCCAGACGGACCCTGATGCTCAACACCAGGTGTTGATGCCACCCACAGGTGTCAACCCTGGAGCAGTGATGACTACCATGCAAAGAGGCGGAGTCGTCCACCTCTTCAACGATTGCGGGACCCTCGGAACACCGGGGTACAGGCAGGAGCGTACCTTCTGCCGCCAGTGCCTAGCAAGGGCGAACCTTCGCCCCTAGGGTTCTAGGTGGTTTAGGCCTGACACCCCCCTAAGACCCGTGTGCACGTGCCTGTGGGCACACGTCCGTCCGTACGTGGTTTGGGGTTTTGTGGGTGAGAGGCCTTGATTTCTCCAAGATCGGGGGGCGAGGAATTCTTATATAGTGTGAGCCTTCACTCTTGTGGAAGGTCACAAGGAGGAGTGTAGAATTCCACCCTCGAGCCCCCTCCAGATCTCTTTCTCTTTTGCGGGCGTTTTCGGCTCTAGGCTGGCTTCGGAATGTTGCCTTGGGTCGTCACGCTAGCTTCAGACTTTAACGACGTAGACTCAACTTAACGAATGCACTATCGCATGTTCGCAAGGAGTCTTCACTGTCTGTTTGCGTCGAAGGAAAAGTAGAGCGCCGTTGAGGGTTCATGGACTTTGGCTGCTGAGCCTTGAGACAACCCCCTTCGTGAGCCTCTCTACGTCCTTCGCTGCACAAATCGAGAAGTGTACAAGTTGTTTTATCCTGGAACTGGGACTCGCAAGGACTCCTACCTGTTCTTTGGATTCAATAATCCCTTATAGTAACCCTAGACCCCTGAAGATCCCTTTAAAGGAACCCTAGAGACCCCCCTTAAAGGGAACCCTACCATTCCCCACTAACCAAAGGTAAGTTTCGGCTGAAGGTAGTCCAAGGCTTCGTGGCCCAGAAGGGCCTGGAGGGTTGCGGGTCTACCAGGCGTAGCATATCTCCGAAAATTAGGGGTACCTTCTTTTGGGGTCCTTGTAATGAGGACCCTACTATTTAGGGTACTATATTCGCGTCCCCCCTGTTTTCGGAAACCCCATATATTGTGAAGGTTTAGAAACAAAAAATTTTGGGTCTTGCGACCTGGGGCTTCAACAATTGAGAGCTTCAGGGTATCCCTCTCCTCAACTCAACACCCTACCGCTCTTAAGCCCAACTCTCTTCGAAAGAAAGCCTCCCCTAAACCCGAAACCAAGAAGCCTCCAGTCCCGAAACCCAGAAGCCTCCAGTTCCGAAACTCCTATCTCGAGTGTTTGTGATTGCGCCATGGGCTTTGCTCGCGCACTGGCTCCCAGCATCAGTAGAAACTATCAAGAACCCTCTTATAACTTCTACGATCAGTAGTACCCGTATAATAGCAGGTTCTTGGGGATTTTTTGGGGGGAAACCCGAAACCCCCAAAGGGCTAAACACACAGAGCTGTCTTGAAAGAAGCGGCTTCGCTGGGTCGGATTGTCCAGGCGAACATAGTCCACCATCTGGCAAGGCTTTAGGGTTTCAGGGCTTTGAAGTTTGCGGTTTAGTGCTTGAAGGTAACATAGGCTGTGGGAGTAGATGAGAGTGTAATGTACGCGGAAAGGAAGTAGGTAATGTTGCTAATATTATGTCTTATGCACTACAGGGCTTAAGGCTTAGGTTACACCGCGTTCGACTCCTTGCCTCGCACCACGTCCCCTAAACACTACATGCGAAGCCTCAATCCCTAAACCCCAAAATCTGAACCGCTGTGCTGTTGGACGTAGGATGTGGCGCTCCGACTTACGGTAGCTCGATCGAAAGTCTCGAAACAACGTAGCAGTAAACCCGGATAGAAACCGTAATAAGCCGTATAAGCACAATATGTGCTAATACAACCTTATTTGGCCCGAAGTGCAACTTCAGCTTCCGCAGCCCAAAGACCAAGCGCAACCCCAAAGCCAAAACCTCGAATACATAGGGCTCAGTGTTTCAGTTCAGGGTTCACGTGTACGAAGCTCGGGTCAAAGTGGTCCCTGGTGCCGGAGTTCGAGTTAAGGTGGTCTAGCATTTAGGGTGTAGAGTTCTGGGCTGGGGGTCCGCAAACAACTCGCAACCAATGGCCTGCGTGCAGCAGATAACTAGTGCAGCTGTCCACAACCCCTGACACTCAACTTAACCTTCAACCACACAGACCGAGATCCAGAACCTGGAAAAGTTGGCCACAGAACCTTTACGCGTGCTTCGGAACTTCGCGACTTGAATAAAGCACTTTCGGTCGTCGATGCGTAGACTCCGGGGGTTCACTCCTGGGGCTTAGGGTCCCGGGTTTCAAACCACAAATCCTAAACCCTGAACCCTTAAGCCTAAACTATAAATCTGGGGTGCGCCGGCACTGTGGCATCAACTCTCAACCGGACATCCTTGACTCCTAAGCCCCAAACCCTAAACCCTAAACACTAATCTGACATTCAATGCACCCTAAACCCTTAATGAGCCCTTACCCGAATCCTAAACCGGAAACCCTAAATACACCCTAAACCCGGAACCAGAATCCGAAACCCGAAACCCTACACTTTCTAATTAGTCTCATGGCCTTCTCCCTGCCCCATGGCCTCACACTGCCGCGTTTTTCGCATGGTATCGATCTATACAAAGGCCTGACGGTTGGACTGAAATGTCCCTGGCACCAAAAATAATGAAAAACCTATATACACCCCAAACCCCAAAACCCTAAGCCTCTTAACCCGAAGCCCTACCGCTTCACGAATGGGGCCCACAGAAATGGTAGTTTCCGGAAATAGGGGACCCTAAAGCAGTACCCCAACTAGTAGGATCCTTACTTAAAAACCACCCCAAAATAAGGTACCCCTAATGTTCAGAAACTCTAAACGCCTATAGGCCCTGTAAAGGAACCCTTATTATAGTACCCTTATAGTAACCCTGTAGAGGAGCCCTAAGGTACCCCTAATTTTCGGAAGCTCCCAAATAATTACGAAGGCCTCGTGGAAGAGGATGGAGACGATGCTCGCTTGGATAGTGGGATCCTCCTGATTCGAGGGTTTAGGGCTTAGGGTTTAGGGCTTTGGGGTTTAGGGCTTTGGGGTTTAGGGCTTTAGGGCTTTAGGGTTTAGGGCTTAGGGTTCGGGGTTTAGGGGAATTACGTCCCTCAAGGGTTCGGGGATTGGGGCTTAAGAAGGAGGTTTTAGTCAGATAGGGATCCCGATGGCGGTTTTGGGATTGGTGGGTTGGGGTCTGGTGTTTGAGGTTTAAGAAGTGTCGGCTTGAGGGTTTGGGGTTGATGTTTGGGTTGCTTGAGGCTTTCACAAGTGGAAATCAGCCTAAACTAAACCTTAAAACCCTAAACCATAAATCCCAAAACCTTAAAATTAACCTTAAACCGATTCTGGCACGCACCTTTGCACCTTCTCCGGCTTTAAGAGGTCCCTCAGCCCCACGCCCTCCACCCCAAAGCCTAGACCGCAACCCTAGAACATCGACCCTAAAGCTCGCACGCTATTGTAGGAACCTGATTAAGAAACCTTGGGTCTTTATGAGGGTTCCGTATGAATCCTAAGATATTGGGGTTATAGGGCCAGGGTTTCTTAATCAGGTTCCTACATTGCACCCCAAGCACCGCAGCTGAACCCTCATCCGTCAACCCAAAAGCTAAACCCAAGAGGACCGAAAACCCGGGTTCCTTTAAAGGGATCCATATAGTAAGGGTTCCGAAAATAAGGGGTACCCTATTATCTTATTTTGGGGGTCCTTATAATAAAGATCCTACTATTTCGGGTACTATATTAGGAGAAGGTTCTAAGACCTACTTGTCGGGTATCATGGGGAACTAAAGGTTAACCTTTTTGGCTATATAGGGATTATATAGGGGGTGTACTACCCAAAAATGTTAAAGGTTACCTACTCTACTACTAGGCTCTATCTTACCAGCCCCTAAGCCCTCCGGGCCTCAAGCCCCACATCTTCAACTCATGCATTCTCTGGAATACTTACCCCGACCGGGGCTCAGGATCACATTGCTTGAGAAAGTAAGTCTGGTTTAGGGTTTAGGGCCAAGTTGACAACCCAGGCTCTCTCCTCACATTACCCTGCAACAACGATGGAGGAGGAAGCGAAACACCAGGAACTTTGCACCGCCTTCATGGCATCCATGAGATCGGCGTAGTCCCACCTTCCACGGAATGCTCATACCGGTAACCCCCTCTTGCAGCGTGCCCTGACGCCCTAGCGTAGCGGGTGAAAACTGAGAAGAAATAAAAGCAAAAAACAAACAATCGCACACCGGTATAACCCAACATAGGAATGACAAGGGAAGAGCAGAACGACATGTCTACTTACCGGAGCACCTGCAAAAAAAACAGCCCAGGGTCCAAAGTTGCCACAGCTGTGCAGTCAGGGCACTCCACCCACTCGACGTTCGTCTTCGCAACCACGTCCTTGGCTTTAGGGTTTAGGGTTTAGGGAACATGCAGCAGCGAATTTTGGATCGCAGCTCCAAGGGGTAGTTATCCCGATCTACAACTCTGCAGCCCAGACCCACTGCTGATGCTGCGGCAGCTTCAGGCGGAGTTACATCTCATGTGCATGAAGGGGTGTGTGTATGTGTAGAGTGTGCTTATATACATAACATACACATATGTATAAGCAGAACTTGCTGCATCGTTTTAAAGATTCTACCTGCTTGACTTTCCAGGCTTGCAGAGCTTGAGGAGTCTATGGCTTGGGGCCCATACCTTAATGTAACTATAGTATAAGTTACCCCAAGTATAGGGCATACTATTTTTTGGTGTCGGGGTGTCTGAAGGTTTGGGCAGAAGCATTCAGGGATGTCTGGGTTGAGAGGTCCGCTGGTTTGCTTTTAGGGGTTTCGGTTTAGGGTTTAGGGTTTAGGGTCGAGGGTTTAGGGTTTAGGGTCGAGGGTTAGGGTTTTAGGGTTTAGGGTCGAGGGTTTAGAGTTTTGGGGGTTTGTGGACTGCGAAAGCAAGAACTCTAGACAACAAGATCACGGCACAATCCAGCAAAGCAGCGTTTGGATACGGCTCCTCCAGTGGCACACATCCAATGCCCGGAAAATTTGGACGAGCAGCCCTAGTTCATCCCCGAGCCCTGGACCCTTAACCACTACCACTAAACCTAAGCCCTAAACCCGCAGGCCCCCACCCCAAACCCTGCCAACGCTCGCGGGCGAGCTCATGAACGGAATCCCCACGCAAAACCTGAAGCCCAAAACTTTATACTTCCCAGCTTCCAATCTGAACCCTACTAGCTGTGTTAGGCCTTTAAGGAACCCCTTTCAGGGAGCCTTTTGCGGAGATGTGGGGCCGAGGTCCAATTTCGGGACTCGCGACTTTCTGTGGGTGCCCGAAGAGCCAGGCCCAGCAACCGATTTACGGTTTATAGTTAAGGGCCCTAAACCCTAAACCCTAAAACCGTAAACCCTAAACCCAAAGCCTAATTAGGGCGTGGAGTTGAGAGTGCTGGGATGTTTTTGCGTGATAGACGAAATCCACGAAGATGGGAACCAGGTTGACATCCCAATAGATGACACTGCCATCTACGGCTCCTAAACCCTAAACTCCACACAGGAGTGGTTGTCAAAATTATGGTCCCTTTTCGGGGCACCCTAAATATTAGGCGCCGTATTATTCTAAGGACCCAAAAAGGGACCCTACTTTTTGACAACCACCCACATGACAAGTTCAACCAAGCCAAAGGTTTCGGGGTTGGCGATCCCAACACCCCCAAAAGGGTTAGGGTTTAGGGTTTAGGGTCTACACCAGTGCGCTGACTTCGGCCTTTGGTGCGAACTTCTGTTTGTCGTGAACCCATACTGAGTAGCGGTAGCAGTAGCAAAGGCAGATGTTGGTAGCAGCAGTGGTGTTGGTAGTACCAGCAGCAGTAGTAGTAGGCACTGGTGTCAGCAATCTACTCATCACCATCGTTGTGGCTCTTCCTCTACCACGGCTGAAACAGGCTGCTACGCATGGGGTGTCCACACTTCGCTCCTCGATCCGGGGCGGATGGGCGATCGCTGTCCCATTCCTTAGCGCTGGCTTCAGTGGTTGTGGACCAAACTGCGGACCATAAAGCCTAAAGCCTAACCCTGAACCCTGCCGGTGGAATTTTAGGGGTTAATGTGGAGCATGGGGGTCTCGATGTTTCCCCACAGAAAGCTCTTGGAAGTTTGGGGTTTAGGGTTTAGGGCTTGGGAAGGCAACTCGCAGAACCTTGTAAGCCCGCTTCGATCCACAGAAGGAAGCACAGTGTTCCCCGTTAACCCGGCAACCGAAACCCGACAACCTAAGACCCTGGACCCGAAATCGCGTAGATCCGGAGACAGCAACCAAAAACAGCAACCGAAACGCAAGAAGAACATTCATAACGGCAACAACAACAGAAATCATGAATACAAAAATGAAAATAGCGATGGTAACAATATGGAAAAAGACCCATCATTATCATGATGGGCATTGTCTTAGTCATTATCATTGTTACTAACACTATGATTGCTAGTGTTGTTGCTGTTGTTGTTGGCTCGGATGTGGTGATTACTAGTGTTGTTGTTGCTACCGATGTTACAATGGTAGTAACAAAAAGGAATAATGTCAACAAGACTAATAGAAGATGATGATAATAGTAATCGTCATGCTGCTTATTATGGTCGTTACGGTTATGTAACACCACTTGAGCTTTGAATCTCGTCAATGTAAGACCGAACCGTTCACCGGCAAGCTGCACGATGGACCCCCGGCTGGTAATGCTGCGGACGCCCAGTCCCTGGCTGTGCATCGAAGATGCTGAGACCTGTAGGCGGTCTTAGTGTGTAGGGTTCAACTAATAAGGTTTGGGAGTTTAGAGTTTAGGGGTTTAAGGGTTTAGGGGTTTAGGGGTGTTTAGGGGTTTGGGGTTTAGGAATCAAGGTTTACAGATTAGGGTTTAGGGTTTAGAGACTGGGGGTGTAGGGCTAAGAGCCTTCCGGGAGAAAAAAAGAAAGCGCTAAGACTTGGCTAAGGGCTTTAGATGTACAGGCTTTTCAATGCCAGACTCTCCGTACGATCACCTCAAACTGAGAGAAACCTAGGCAGATAAGGGGGACTCATGATTCGGACCTTGGGGCCCTTGGGTGTTGCGGCTTGAAACGACGGGTTTAAGGGTTGAAAGAGTTTAGGTTCGAGCTGTTGACAATGTAAGCTTTACCTGACGGACTTCGACTGGGTGAGGCGATATCATCGCGCGGAGGTGTTGCATCAAGTTTCAAGATGGAAAAAGCTGCTGATTCGGGTCTGTGGCTTTTGCGGCCTGCATTTTTCGAAGTCTGGGGCCTGAGGTTCAGGACCCTTATACCCTTGAAAGAGGCTCTAACACCCGATACAGCTCTGTAGAACGCCCCGAAGACCGACCCGGCGAGGAATCTCATAAAACTATCAGAAAACCCAATACCCCTTAATTAGGGAATATACCTTAAATAAGAGGGGCCTTTATATTATGATTTAAGGTATATACCTCAAATAATAGGGGCCTTGTTCTCTGGGCCCTCACCCCAAGAACGAAACCTCACTCGTCCCCACATCCCGCCGCCTCGAGGCGGCCGAGGTAGCGGTGACTCACCTCACCCTTCTCCAAGAGCGCGGGCAGCGTGTCTCCCTGGCTTTCGTTTAGGGTTTAGGGTTTAGGGGCTTTTCAGCACCCGGAAAATTCTTGTCCAGGATTTTGCAGGAGCTTGACAGGCTTTCTAGGGGCTAGAGGGGTGTTCGTATAAGCATTTTGAGATGGGATCCTTTACCATCAGTGATGCTCTTGCTTTGTGAGCCCCGGAAGCACAATGCCCTCAATATGTGCCACCATGGATGTGGAACCTCAAAAACTGATGGCACAGCAAGTTTCGGCTTCGCGTTTCTTTCAGGGTTTAGGGTTTAGGGCTTTCGGGCGTGGTGTCTAGATTCAGGCGGTGATTTATGGATGGGCAGCGAGGTCTTAGCAAGCAGCATACACATACCTGGCTCTACAATAGGCACACGCTGAAGCCCATGCCATAAGCTCCGCGAAATTGATCACCAAACCTATACAACCACCATCTTTCTAAACTCCCAGATGCCCTTCAAACCTTGGACCTAAGCTGTTCGTGTTGCTACTGTCGAAGTAAACACTACGACTGTCCCTGCTGCTTTAACGAATGCCCCGACGATCTTCATTGACACTACTGGGCCCGTTGTTTCCACCAAAGGTACATACAGGTAACATATTTGGATTGTGCCCCGTGAGCCCTGTTGCCTCACACTCAATGCACCCCTGCGCCCCAAAGCCCTCAACTCTACGATCCCATAGCAGCCCACACACAAGCCCTTGGAAACCAAAGGACGGTAACCCCACAAAACCTAAAACCCAGAAGAGCCCCATTCGGCAGCAAGAAACAGGAAATCCACGTCACCAGACCCCTCCGAAACAACAACACTACCACAACCTGAAGCTCTAAAGTGCCAAAACACAAACAAAAAACATGGCCACGAACCTCGGGATTCTGGTCTGGTTCGAGACTATGCCTGCTGAGACTCCCCGAGGCAGCGGAGGCTTTGAGGTGACTGCTTTCGGGCTTCAGCTTGCGAGTTGCTTGGTTCTTATGGGGGGATTTCGCGTTAGCACCATAAGCAACCTTCTAACAAACCTCATAAATAGTACCCCCAATACTGACCCTTGTAGGTAAGACCTGCAGATCCTCTAGCAATCCCTGTGAACAAGAGGGTACCGCGCTTAAGTTTGGGGATCTTCGCCCGCTGTCCAAACTCACACAGAGATCAACCTCCGGCTTCAAACTTTCCGAAGCATCAGGGTTTAGGGATTAGGGTTTAGGGTTCAGGGTTGGTTCAGGGTTTAGGGATTAGGGTCTAGGGTTCAGGGTTCAGGGTTTAGGGTTTCGGAGTTTAGGGTTTAGGGATTAGAGTTTATGGTTCGCCAGTGCAGTTTTTGGACTGCGCAAGGCGCCCTAACCACTTATGGCGCAGCGAAGCGTTAACATAGTTCAGCTTCCTTTAAGGGGACTGCTTCTTGACCCTAAAGAATTTTGTTAAATTTGGGTTTTTAGTTTTAGTGTTTGCGGCGCTCCCCGGCTCCTTCAAGCAACTCCAGCCTAGCTTCCCGCAGCTTTCAGCTCCCACTGCCCGGCCAAGCCCAAAATTTTAGCACCTGTTTTTGTTGTGGCTCCCAAACTTCAATTTTAGAGTTTCGGCTCTGAAATTTGGTTTTTTGGTCCTTTCCGGATCCCTTCCAAGCCACAAGGCTGCTTGGGCTTTTTTCAGACACACTCCAAGCCACCAGGTTTACTTTTTTGTTCTTTCCAAACCCTCTCCAAGCTTCCAAATTTGGTTTTGTGGCTTTTTTGCAGACCTTCTCGAATTTGGGTTTGTGGCCTTTTGCAAACCCACTCCAAGCCTTTACATTGGGCTTTTAACCTTTCCCAAACCCCTCTCCAAGCCCCCAAACTCTGTTTGTGGCCTTTTCCAGACCCTCCTTCAAGCCCACAAACTTGGCCCCCTCCAGGCCCTCAAATTGGGCTTGTGGGTTTGTCCCTTCAATTGTGCTTTTTGGCCCAGTCCGCCCTCCAAGCCCCCAAACCCTCTCCAAGCCCCCAAATTTTGTTTTTGGCCTTTTCCAGACCCCTTCCAAGTCCACAAATTTTGCTTTTTTGGCCTTTTCCAAATCTTTTCCAAGCCCCCAGATTGGGCTTTTTGGTCTTGTCTTTCAAATTGGGCTTTTTGGCCCAGACCCCCTCCAACCCCCCAAACCAACTCCCCAAAAGTGGGTTCCAGACCCACCCCAAGCCCCCGAACTATGTGTTTCTTCCAGAACCCTTGCAAGCCCCCAAATTGGGATTTTTGGCTTGTTCAAACCCCCTCCAAGTCCTCAAATTTGTTTTTTTGCTTTTTCCAAACCCCTCCAAATCCACAAATTTGGGTTTTATGCTTTTCCAAACCCGCTCCAAGCCTCCAAATTGTTTTTTTGGTTTTTTCGATCCGGTTAGATTTGTTTCTTTCTGAACCCACCAAATTTGGATCGCATCGATGCACCTGTAACGCTGAAGGGTCGAGACTGGGATGTACAGTATAGCTGCCCAGCAAAAGTATGACGCATCCCCATGCCCACGCATGAGACCGGCACATCCGCCATACCCCCGTGCTTGACAACCCTCCAACGACATCCCCGGCCGTTCCTCTCAAGAAACCAACAGAAGCACAGACTCGAAGCTCATGCTTTCCACGAGCACGTCCTGCCGCAAATGGAACTCGGCGGCAGCCGCCGACATGGCCCGCCAGAACTCCCTCATCCATGGCCTCGAATGCAAGACGGGTTCACACACACGCAATGGATCGGAACGAAGCGTCCATAGATGGGCACCGAGTCACGCGGTGTGCCATGCAGGACAGCCAGTTCACCGCCTTAAGCCAGCCCTGCAGTTCCTCCTCCGGCGCTCCTCGCACAGGGGAATGCTGTGCAGGCCAACGCAGAAAACCCACCGTGCAACGCACAGAAGTGCAGAGGCAATCTTCATAGCGCTATCACGAAGCATGCTCGGTCCCGAAAGCAGGGCCCGCAGCAGACCCGCACAAGCGCGCTCAGCGAGCGCACAGGCTTTGCCACGCAAGGCGTGGCCATGTTGAGACCTTTCCGCCCATATTTGAGGCCTCACCAGTCCCGTGGGACTGTGGTATCACGGTGCGTGCAGCACCACAAGATATTGCAGACTCCCATGACAAACGCGGCTTAAGCATGCACGACTTGCAGCCAAACGGCGCCGCCCGTCCAGATTCCTCCCGCTCCATTCCGTCTTGCGCTTTGGCACGCGGGAGATAGCGTCTTTCTCGACCTGCTGCAGCTGCTGCGCCTGCGAAAGGGGTCGAGCAGGACAGAGGCGCAACAGCGCAGACCCGAAACGGTTCGTGCATACTGCCTCAACATCGGAATCCGTCAGCTCCACCAGCTCGACAAGCACGACCCAAAAGCTCACCTAGCACGTACAAAACAGCCGCACCATCATCACGCAACAAAAGTTACGCTCGTCAAGTAGCATGAGCCCAGGGCTACACTGACCCCAGATGTTACAACTGACATCCTGCAGGCTACTGCCCTCACATGCCGCGCCTGGACAAGATCCCCATCCACGTCGCCTCCGGCAAGCCGGCTGTTCATATCACCGTGGCGTGAGTAAAGAATGGTGTTGTCCGGGACAACATTCCCGGAGGGGGGGTCGCCACGTTGACAGTAGTGATATCCTGCACACTTTGCGTAGGATACCGCCAGGCCTGGGCGTCAGGTGAAGACTAGACTCATCATCATGACACGTATTCAACCCAGTGGCTGCCACGCGCACGCCCTCGCCATAGACCTTGCCGTCCACCACCAAGTAGCAATGACCTGGCACTTGCAACATCTCGTGACTCCCCAAATCACGGTTCGGCATCAGCAACACTGATACACACCTGCAGGGATCTTGCCCGTCGGGTCCACGGCCGCGAAGACCGTCGCTCCTTCGGCAGGCCTTGGTGGAGCAATAGCTGCAGTGGACAGACACCAAGCGGCAGGACTCCATGCGCGTGACCGCCAGACTCTGTCCAAGAACGCTGCATATCCAGCTCCGCCTTTCGTCTGTGACGGTTGCAAGCTCTCCGGTAACGACCCATGCCCACAGCCAGCGCCCTCTTGGTGCCTGTCAAACTCCGTTCGGGCTCTTGTTTCAGTTTGCCTAAACTGCTTTTTACTTTCGAAAAAATTTACAAATTTACTTAAACTGAGTTGTGGTTGTCGGTTGCTTTCCATCAAACCCGCTTTCCTGTTGCCCTTCAAACCACAACCTGCGCTGGCGCATCTTCGGCGCAAGCCGTCTAAATTTTAGGGATTAGGGTTTCGGGATTAAGGTTTAGGGTTTCGGGATTAAGGTTCAGGGTTTAGGGTTTAGGGTATCAACCCTAAATCCTAAATCCCAGACCCCAACCCTAGACCCTACACCCTCATCCCTAAACCCTGAATCCTGATCCCTGACATCCCCGGCTCTCGTCAGGAGCACCTCAAAGTGAGGATGAGGAGAACGAACTTCATCTATGACCTGCGCCTAAAACAAGCTCTGTTCTGGCTGAAGAAACCCGAGAACAACAACCTCTGAACCCCTAAACACACCGTGGGCCCCAAAGCCCCTAAAGCTCTAAACCATTCAAAGAGCCAGGTGACAAAGCCACTGCCTCACCTCGCAAGAGGAGCACCACCTCTTGTGCCAAGCACTCTTGGGGTGTTTAGGTTCAGGGCTTTTGTGGCTTAGGGATTAGGCCTTAGCGTCTGGGTTGGTAGGATTTCGGGTTGTAGGGCGCTTAGGATTTAGGGTGTTCTTAGGGTGTGGGACTCAACGTAGTGGCAAACTCCGCTTGCTTTGCGGAAGCGTCCTTGCTCGTGCTGCAGCGGCGCCGAAAAAATACAAACCATCCTCGCACCTACCAAAAATACAAGCCATCCTCGACCCTACCAACCTAAACCACTCCTAAACAACCCTAAACCCTAAACCCTAAATTCTGAATCCTAAGCCCGAAATCCAAATTCCTAAACACCAATCCCAAGCCCGATCAGGCTGTTGCTTACTTGTCCAGTATCCTAGGGGAACTAGAGGTTAACCTTCACGATTAAACTATGGGGGTTATGGTACCCCTGACAGGGGAAAGGTCACCTACTCTACCACCCCAACCCTGAATCCCGTAAAGGTTAAGGGTCACCTACCCCACTGCTAGAAATACGTAAGCCACGAACCAGTCTCGAGTGGCTCGGGCCATTCGGGGGCTTAGGGGGTTTAGTGTTTAGGCTTCAGGGTTTAGGGCTTTGGAGTCCAAGGGTTTAGGGTTTAGGCGGTTGCTCTCCTTGCCGCTCTTTGCGCGTAAAGTGTGCCTTCCTGATTTTTTTTTGGCTTTAAGCCCAGGCTGTTTTCAACTCTGCGCCTGAGCTCCCTCAAACCCTAAGCCCTAAACCCTAACCGAAGCCACACAGCCTGCCAGGAAAAGCACCGCTTAACAAGCCCAACCTCGGCACCCTACTTGGAGGGTCGGGGAACTTAGTAACTGGTTATTTTAGGGACTTATAAGTACCATAACCCCAATTAGGGTCCCTTTTGGGGTACTTATAAGTCTATTAAAGGAACCCTTAGAATCCCCTTTAAAAGAGCCCTTACTAAGTCCCCCGACCCCCCAAGTACACTCCAAACCCCGTCTTCACCTCTCTAAACGCCCAGGAGACTCCCCCAACACTCGAAAGACCTCCATGGACCCAGAGATCCTATTACCCCTTAATTAAGGGATATACCTTAAATCATAATGTTTAGGCCTCTAGAATTTGAGGTATATTCCTTAATCATGGGTTCTCTGGGAAGAAGCCCACCTTGCCGAAAGGCACGCCACCTTTCACGACTAGCTGCCCGGCTTCTTTGCGCTTGCCTGGGCGAGGGTTCTGCGATGGCTGGGGCCTGGTGTTTCTGCCTCTGTGTGCTTGCTTAAGCAAGGCTTATATGGGAGTTTCCGAAAATTAGGGGTACCTTTATTTGGGGGATCCTTGTAATAAGGATCCTACTATTTCGGGTACCATATTAGGGTCCCCCATTTTCGGAAACTCCCATATAAGGCTGTGGGTTTGTGCTTCCGAGGCCTTGCAGGAAGGCTGGCTAGCAGCAGGGCTTCAAGAGGCGCTGGCAAGGTGTCTGGCGGCCCTTCAAGCCCAAAGAACCTTACTTCAAAACAGCATCAAACCCTAAAAACTGTCAAAGCCCAGTGGGGAAAAAACACAAAACGAAATAAAACACACACACATATATATATATATATATATATATAGACATATAGATATGGATATATATATATATATATACACCAAAGACAAGTAAGGTGTCCAGCCATGGAACGATGGCTGCGCTGCATCAGCTGCACGAACCTCAGGTAGCACCGCGGAGCGCCCGATACTCTGCGGATAACTTACCTTTGGTCGATAGGGAATGGAGGAATGGGGTACAAGTATAACTACTATTACTACCATTCTGCCATTCCCTACTAACCAAAGGTAAGATAAGGAGCAGGAGATGCAGGGCCCTATCGTCCTCAGTCCTTAGTACCTGCTTAGGGTTGAGATTCTAAAACTTAAAACCCTAAACCCTAGCCCCTAATCCTGAACCCTCAACACCACAGTCCAAGCACAAGACTTGAATCCCCAACACCAGCAATCCGCAAGCCCAAAGCTCTGAGCCACAAGCAAAGAGCCAAAGCAGCTCTCAAACTCTACACCCTATAGTACCCTATAGTCACAAAAACGCCTTCGTAGCCACCTGGACAAAGCTGATTTAGCCGAATGGCGCAGCAGTGGACACGCCACTGGGCAGGAAAATGGATTCGTACACCTGCACAGCTGCAAGTTCTTAGCCTTCGCTGTTGGCTCTCTCTCTAGGGGTCAATACTGGGGGACATGGGGATGGGGATGTCTGGTGTAGGGCTGAGAGACACGAGGGCTCATGGACTCACGGATGCAGTCCAGGGCAGTCTAGGCTGTAACAGTTTGGGAATTAGGATAGTTTAGGATGTCGGACGGTCCGGACAGTGAGTTCAGGCTTTAGGTTGACGGGCTAGGGGTTGGGAATTCGGGGTTTAAAGGTTAGGTTTGGGGTCAGGGTTCAAGGCTTTTTTCCGACTGCGAACAGCTAGAATTCCTTACCAGGAAGGGCCAAGGGTTGGGGCGTCGTGTAGACAAAGCTCGACATGGCTGGGGCTTTGGGTTTAGGCTTCAGGCTTGATCGTTGGGCTTTCTCCCTTCCCTTCGTTGCTGTAAGGTCTCGAAGATATGCCGGCCACTTGGGTGAACTACTTACAACTTATAACCTCAAGCAGGGTACGTTCAGACTCAGGCATGCCGCACATAAACATACTTGTAACTAGCCATGAACTTTGAAGCACCTCGACGTCTTCCTTGGCAATCTCAACTTTGGCCGGCGTTAGGAAGAGCAGCGGCGTCATGCCTTCACAAGATCATGTCTGAGCCTAATGTCCACAAACAGTAGCTGTGATTTTCGTGTTGAAGCTCGCTTTATGCCTTTTCTGCGCTAATTTCGATTCTGCTGTTTGCCACTACTGTTACCAAACGTACAACCGAGTTTGCAAACATGCGGTTGCACGTTTGCAAATTCGGACCACGTCGTCGTCCTAGTTGCGGCAACAGAAGGGGTAGTGTCACTAGTTGTCACCGTCGTTGTCCCTGCTTGCCATGAAATTGCAGTTGTACGGCTTGCGGCGCCAAGCACTATCATAAGCAGTGCAAATACCCTCTCCGTCGCTGCTGAAGGTATCGCTGCTGTTGCAGTGCAGGCTACTCTTACTCTACGCTTCCCATGATAACCATTGTTCTCTGTCGCTTCGTTGAGAGCATCGTTTCAATGACTGATGATTATAGATGTTCGCAACGCTATGAACTCCGGTCACGTCAAGAAGTGAGTCTGCAGTATCTGATGCGGGCAATGCAAAACATGGTGTCGCCAACTTGCGGCCATTCTTGCAGGTACCCTCGAGCCCCAACAACAAGGCGTAGACTCTAAACCCTAAATCCTAAACCCTAAACCCTAAATCCTAAACCCTAAACCCTAAACTCTGAAGCCCTCAAGCCTGCCTGCGAAGCAGCCAAGGGTGATTCCGATAAGCTTCCCCGCCAGCGTCGTGAGCTTTGCAGCATTCATGCGCTCCTGGCGCACTCGGAGCTTAGCGATTTAGGGTTTAGAGGTTTAGGGTTTAGGGTCTAGGGTTTCGGGGATTTAAGAAGTTAAGTCTGCAGGGCTTCGGGCTCAGAGCTCCAAATTCCATCGGGGTCTACGCCAAGCTTCAACAGGATTGCGGGCTTGTGCCGCGCCCTCAAAGCTCTCGGCCTCGGGTTGGAATTTGATCTACCGAAGACCTAGACATTAAGCCCAAATCTAAACCCTTACCCCGACATCCTAAACCTAAGTTACGCTTTAGGGTTGAGGGTTTAGGGTTTAGGAAGCCCGAAACATAAACCCTGATTCCTAAACCCCAGCTTCCCCAACTGGCATCTCAAAGAACAAGACTGGCAAGCCAGCAGTCCGAAGCGTAAGAGTAGCTTTGCTAAGCCATAGATCCTAGGGTTTAGGGTTGGCTCTAAGAGCCCATCGAAGAACTGAACCATGAATCGCAAACTCAGAACCTTGTACCGTAGTACTGTAGTAACTACCGTATCCATACTGAGGCTACTAAGGACCCTGAATGGAACTTGAGCCTTTGTGAATCAGGTCCTGGTTCCTTCATTCGACGAACTTCTCAACCCTGTGCTATAGACTGAAACCCTAACGTGTACCCATAATGCCCAAACCGTACTCCAGCCCTACACCTTCAACTCGAAATCCCGAGACATGTTGATGAACTTCTCTCCTTTCAGACCCTATAAAGCCCTTCTAAGCGCTCATAAACCTTGTTCACTGCTTAGAAAAAGCCTTCCAAGCCCCAGGAGAAACATGAATGTCTGTGTGCATATATATGTAATATATGCATGCACCTATGTATGTCTGCGTGTATGTGTCTGCGTACCTATGTCATAGAAACACGTAAAAGAACCTTTCAAGCACTATCAAGACCCTCAACCCCTAACCCCAAACGCTACACCCCTATTCATAAGAGCCTGCATCGGCGTAAGGCCGCCATTGCTGAGACCCATCCTCGCTTCGAGCTCTGGATGCTGACATCAACTCAACTCCTAAGGGCGCTACAAGATTTCGAACCGGTGGTGCTTCGGGGTTCTGCTGTTTAGGATGCAACTCCAAGCACAAGAAAAACGATGAAAATCATGAGGAAGTTCGATCTCCTTCCGAGAATTTTTTGGAAACGCAGCTCTGCCATTCCGATATAATCCATTGGCCTTAATCGTTGGAATAATAGGGCGTGGGCTACTGGCGACCGACCAGCAGGCAACATTCTCACTAAGTCTTCAGAACTCTGCATGTCATAATGCTGTTCAACATCAAGCAGTGAGACCAACGAGGGACTAAGGCTAAGAGATTCCCTAGTCTTGTTCGCGAGATCCTTGAACTAAGTGTACCAGACATTCATGAATACGAGCGCGAGCATTGGAACAGCTACGAAGAGGAGGATGAGACAGGATAGCAAAAGATGATGATGAATGTTATAGTTATTACCATAATTATGATGATGACGACGCTGGTGCGGGAAAAACTGTCACGATGATGATGGTGGTATTTAACCGCGGCGATGACGATGATGATGGTGGTGGTGACGAAGATGATGACCGTCCAATCATGGCGGTTGTTGCGATGATGCTGCCATGGAAAGAAAATGAAAACAATGCGAAGTCCATCACCCTCCTCCCAGTCAGCGACAAACCAAACCGCCAAGCACAAGCAGAGTCTACACATGGTACATGATCAACTTGAACGAGGAAGTGTAGGGTTGAGGGCTTAGGGTTGTTCCAAGCCTAATTGTTTAGGGTTAGATTTTCCACAACACCGGAATGAAGAAAACATCCGCCCGGGAGCTTCTGCGCAGACCGCTCAATGGCATCCCCCAAGCCTCGCTTTGCGAGGTTTCTTGCCCTCGGTACTAGACCGGTAACATAAAGCTACTAGAAGTGCACGATAAAACTCAAACAAATCCTCGCAAAGAGTTCTACACGTAACTTCTTGTTCCTCCTGCTCACGGTTAAGTGACATGAAGGGGCGTTTTGAGAAGCTTGCAGCCTTGGGTTAAATTGTTGCTACTTGGCCCGGCCTTGAGCCTCATTGGCTTAAGCTTCGGATACTCTTGGGCTTTAGGTTGCAACGTGGCTTCGCGCATTTGTGCACTTCGGGAGCAAGTGTCTTTCTACCTAACCTCTCTGGCTCTAGGGGGCGGGCCTGGGCATCGACATATCTTCACAATTGCCTCAGAAACTCATGCTAAGTGCGCATTATCCGCATGATGAATATGATGATGGTGGTGAAAGTGAGAGTGACAAACGCAATGATGAACATGAGCACCATGTAGAGCTTGACCTGATGATGACCCAGATTATGCGTCAATTATGAGCATGATACCGAGGGGCATAGTACCATTGGATATGTAAATTTGTCTGATGGTGCCTGAACGGCCCAAAAGAGTCGAACCCACTCCTCTTGAAAATGAAGGATCGGGCCTAGGCCGATCGTGTCGGAGAGCCAGTTGCCCAGTCCTGTCGGGTGACACACACACATGTAAATATGAAAAATACATTTATATGTATACATATACACATACATACATGTCTGTATGAACATATCTCTACATGTATATAGGTACGTGACGGCATGTGTATGTAAAATGTATATATATATATATATATATATATATATATATATATATATAATACACACATGTCTGTGTTTGGCTCTTGGCTCCATATGGACGTCACAGGATGGCGGCTTTCCGAAGATCGTGATCAAGAATCTCACTTTAATCCCTGCGACATACGCAGTAAGCAGTGGCAATGCGAACACTGTGAAAACAGCATACTCGCGTCTGTACGACAGCAAGGAGAAAGGAAGAACACCTAGCGAAATGACAGAGATGTTCCTGGCTGTAAGATTACTAGATGTAGCACTAGCAAGAAGAGAACAAGTAGGACTAGCAGCAGCAACCAGTTCCACCACCATCATTGTCATGGCAAACAGCAATCAGCAGCAGCATGGTGATGATGTTGCTGCTAATGAACAGAGGATGAGGATGACTGATGAGATTCGTTGAGCTTTTGTCTAGGGTTCGGGGAGCTCAGTAATAAAGAGCTTTGGGGTGTGTGTGTGTGTGTGTAAATATATATATATATATATATGTATATACACACACACGTATATAAATAATCTGAAACAGATATCCTCCCAACCCTAAGCCTAAGCTACCTGAAGCCAAACGCAGAACAGCAAAGGAGAGGGGCCGCAACCAGAATGCTAAAAAACTAATCCAAACCCAAACCTTAGACCCCGGACCTTAGCCTTAACCTCAAACGTGAAACCCTTTCTTACTCCCCCAACAAGCCACAAAAGCAAAAGGTTGAACTTTCCGATTCCTACTAAACTATACGAACCCACCAAGTTTAAAGGCTGGGCATTGGGGATTCCAGTTCTATTCTCATGTCAACTGCTTGGCCAACCTGCGGCCAACAGTCTGTGGTTCGACTTGCGGGGCTGCAAACTCGACCACATGACTACCATACTAATACTACACCCCCTTAGAACCATAATTAAAATGTGTTTAAGATTCTCTTGAGTTTTATGTGAACAAAAATGCAAAATAACTCCTAAGGAGACTATAGAAAAGAGATAACAAAGACGCATTACGTCTTTGAGTACACTGCCCGCCTTAACTTCAAGTCCGAAACCCTCCATCTCAACACACTACCACGCTGAAAACCCCGAACCCTAAAAGCCGAAAATCTGCACCCCTACTCTCAACCCCTATAGTTAGTATAGTTCCCTGTATAGACACCCTTCTAGCACCCTTACAACAACCCCTCAAGCAACCCTGAAAAGACAGTTTATCAAGCCTAACCCCCAACCCCCCTCATAAGGGTGCCTGCGGAAGCCATGGTGGTTAGCCCCAGCAGCACGCCGAATTGTGCGTCAATGAAATCGCCGCAGATAATCATGATCCTGCGAGATTTAGGGTTTAAGGCTCAGCCGAGAGTTTGGGGGTTTGAGGTCTGTTCTGGGGGTTCAGGGTTGCGGGTAGAAGAACTAAGTTTTAGGAGGCCAAAAGATGCCTGTAACCCAAACCTCGCCCTCACCCACCTGAACAAAAAAGATGCGGAAACCCCGATCCCCTCCAAAATCATCTCCCAACCCCAAAAAGATCCCCTGAACCCTTTACCCCAACTCAAAATCCCCCCCCCTCCCCGGCCCCGTACTCATCCCAGGTGCGCCAAGGCACGCATTATCGGCGAAGCCAAAACCGAAGAAAGGAACGGCCACAAAGATGAGCAACCTTCCATT